TTGTATAGACGCATCAAAAAAACAGACATATCTGTGAGTGGGGGAGAAGTCTGGAGCTAAAGGTCCAGGATTCAAGGTTCGGGGCTTCAGGGTTTTCGCGTGTGGAGATTAGCTTTCAGGGCTTCGGGCTAAGACAGCTAATCTCGAGGCTTGAGCAGGCTACGACAGATGTTGCTCGATATTTGGGGTTTGGGAAGATGCACCCTCTTTCGCTCGTGGCAATATTAACCAGCATCATCATCATCACAATGATAAAACATAGTCATAACACGACTAAGAATCCTAACAGGAACAACAAGAAGAAGAACAACAATAACAAGAAGACGAGTAACAACAATCACAATAATGTTAAACCTCTTGTAGTCAGAAGACTAATACTTAAAAAAATGATAGCAGAGCACTGCTGCCCGTGGAGACTGAGACTCTAACAGTGAGCGATGCACCGAGCACTTCCTTCCAGCTTTGGCCATGGCTTTGGCGTTGGGGTCTGGGCGTAGGGTTTAGGGTTTAGGGTTTAGGAGTTTAGGGTATAGGAGTTTCGGGTTTAGGGCTTATAGGGGTTAGAGTTTCGGGTTTAGGGTTTAAGGCTCAATGGGGGTGTAGGGTCTGATGTGGTCTAGGGTTTGCATGGGGTTTAGGGTTTGAATGGGGCTTTTTCACTGCTTAGGGTTTGATGCTTTGGGGTTGTGGGTCGAGGTCCTTATTTATGACTACACTAGAGTATACCCCAAAACCCTATATGACTATAGTAGAGTATACCCCAAAACCCTATATGACTACAGTAGAATATACCCCAAAACCCTATTCTAATTACTAAGGCGCCTATATTCAGTCTAAGGGCTCGGGACTCAGAAGCCGGCTGAGCTTGCACGGCCCTAAAGGCCTCCTAAGGGTTTAGGGTTTAGGGTGTAGGGTTTAGGGTTTAGGGTGTAGGGTTTAGGGTTTAGAGTTAAGGGTTACGGGTTAAGGGTTAAGGGTTTAGGGTTTAGGGTTTAGGGTTTAGGGTTTAGGGCTTAGGGTTTAGATTGTAACTGGATAAGGGCGGTTGCGCGAAGGTAGGATTTTAGGATTAGGGCTGATGAGGGCTTTGGGTTCAGGGCGAGTTTTGGGGCCACTTAGGGATTGCGATGTTGGTGGGCATAGAGGGTTTTGGGGCGAACTTAGGGCTAAAGGCTTTCGGATTGTGGCTCCATGTTTGCCTCAAGGTACCCCTTATCCCACTTTCTTCTAAGATCCGAACCCCTCGTCCTCCTCGCAAGCTCTAAGTCGAATACTAAGCATGCTGACACAAACCGCAGTGGTAGTTCCAAACATAGAAACCGTACCTTGCACTATGTAGGTACTTAGTATACCTTGGGATTGTGGGCTCGCAACAAAAAAACCAAACACTCAAGCTCGACGGGGGCGGGATAGGGTTTTGGGTTTAGGGTTTAGGGTTTAGGGTTTAGGGTTTAGGGTCTAGGGATCCAAAAGCCACTGTCCGGGTTTAGAGTTAGAGGCTAAGAAATTCAGAGAGAGCCCAATCGCGCTTAAAGAAAGAAGCCCGACGCAACCTGCCTGGTATAGTCCGAAACTAAGAGTTGCAATCCAAAGTTAACATTTGTTGGGTATGGCATGTTCCTGAATCACAGCTGAATCGTGAGTTCCTTTATCAAGGTGCGAACTAAGGCTTGAAACCCTAAACCCTAAACCCTTAAGTCAGGAATCATCGGCATATCACTTGCAGGCGGCAGGATCAACACCCCACGCTCCAGAAGCACGAGCCCCCCAAAAGCACAAAGAAAGTTTAGGGTTTGGGTTTAGGGTTTAGGGTTTAGGGATTAAAAGTTTAAACCCTAAACCCTGAACTAATAAGAAAAAAGAGAAAGTTGATGCAAAGCCCTCAATCTCAGAGCTAAGGATGTGGGTTTAGGGCTTGGGGCAGGAACGCCCAAGTCAAAGCCACCACTGAACCCTAAACCCAACAAAGCAAAAACCCTAGGATGCCCAGTAGCCTAGGAATCTAAAGGGCTCCCTTTTTGGCTTCGGGTAGGTTTGCAAGGAACCTAAGACCACAAAAAGGGAGAAAGGGTCCACTGGAAGACCTACTTGGAGGTTCATGGGCAGTTATAAGTGGGGTTATAAGTCCCCTAATATGGGTTATAACTATAGTTACCCTACTTAAAACCCCACTTATAACCACCCCTAAGCCCTAAACCCTAAACCCTATAGAACCCTTTAAAGGAACCCTTAAAGGAACCCCAAATAACCCCACTTATAACTACCCATGAACCTCCAACTAGAGGCCAAGGGGTCCTTCAGCTGCTCCACGAGGCCCGAAGCCACGATGAGGGTGCGAGGCTTCCTGGTCAAGGGGTGCAGGGTTTAGGGGTTTTTGGTGGTTTTGGGGGGTTTAGGGATTTAGGGTTTAGGGTTTAGGGGTTCTTGGGGGTTTCTGAAAATAGGGGACCCTGATGTAGCACCCCAAATAATAGGATCCTTAATATAAGGACCCAAAATAAGGTACCCTAATTTTCGGAAACTCCCACTTGCTTTGGGGCTTTAGGGTTTAGGAATTGAAGTGTTTAGGGATGTAAGGGTTTCGGGTTTAAGGGTTTCGGGTTTGTAAGGGTTTACGGATTTGAAAGTTTAGGGATTTAAGGAAGTAGGGATTCAAGGGTTTCGGGTTTAGGGGTTAAGGGTTTGGGGTTTCAGATTTAGGGGTTCAGTGTTCATGGGGTGGGCTCCTCTGCGGGTTTCTACGACTTAAGGCGTCATGAGGGTTTCTATAAAGGGCTTTTGTAAGGCTGCAAGTGTTCGCAAACATCCCGAAGGTTTCGATAAGGGTTTCTAGGAGGATTTCTATTTGGGTTTCGATTTCTGTAAAAGTTGCTCAGGTTTCTATAATAAGGCTTTCTATGGGCTTCTATGAGGGCTTCTTGAAAAAGGTGCTGTTAAGGGTTGCTGGTTCTACGAGAGCTTCTATCGACTGGGCTGTTGGGATTAAGGGTGTAGCGGCGTGGGGTTTAGGGTTTAGCGATCTAGGGTTTAGGGTTGAGAGCTTTAAGGCTTGTTCTATAAGGCTTCCCATAAGGGTTTCTACAAGGGCTGGTTCTTGTAAACCTTCAAGGGTTGAGGTATAGAATAGAGCTTGCATCGCAGAGTTGAGTGTTTAGGGCTTAGGACTCCAGGGCTTGGCAAGGATTTAGGCTGCAGGGTCGGGAAAAGTGTAGAGGTGGAGGTTAAGGTTCAAGGCTCTTTTCGGATCCCACAATTGCGAAACTGGGATCAGGGCTTAGGGCCTAGGGTGAACGGCTGTAGCCCCAATGATAGCCTGCCAGAAAAGAGGGGCTGACTACATACACTACTACCCCTAAAACCTTAATCCTAGACCCTATACCCTAAACCCGAAACCCTACCTGCGTGGAGCTGAGGGTTCGGCTCTCAGGCCATGCTTGGGCGGATTTAGGGTAGTTTAAGGTTAATGTTTAGGGTATCAGAACCTTTCGGTCTCAGGGCTCGAGGCTCGGGTCAACATTACTTTACGTTGCTGTCTGGTCATTGAATAATAAGAATAGGGTTTGGGGGGTATAGTATACCATAATTATAATAAGGAACCCCCAAAACCCTATTCGAATTATTAAGGCCCCTACATTGACGCAATCACCAGCACCGCCACCGTCACCCCGATGACTTCCCTAACCCTTACAATGTCCTTGTAAGAAGACCTTATTCCAATCCTTCAGGTTCCGATTGTCCCGGATCAGCCTCAAAGGACGCTTTGCAGAACCTTTAAAAAGACCCATGGAAGGGCAGAACCCTTAAAGCCCTAAACCCCCAATGCTGCCCACCTGCCATCCTCCTCCGGCCACTCGGCCTTTACGGCCGCGTACCTTGGAGCGGGTGGGGCGGGGGAGATTTGGGATCAAGGGCTGAGGGCTTAGAGCCGTTCTTAGGGGCTTGGGGCTTAGAGTTAGAGTTTGAGGGAAAGGACCGGTCCAGGGTTTAGGGTTTAGGGCCGTTTTCGGGTTCGAGTTTAGGGATTTAGGGGTTTAGGGGCTTAGGGGCTGCAGCGTGTTTAGGATTGACGACTGACGTAGGATGTCACGAGTCACGAGGCTACATCAAGGCTTGTTGTCATGGTGCAACGGAGAAGTGCTCAAGTGCGGTTGCATGTTACCAAGGGTCTCCAAACCAAAACAACAAAGCAGCCTAAACCCTAAACCCCAAACCCCTAAAAAACTTTTTTTCGCATTGCGTTGGACCAAAGAGTCGTCTGACGCGTCCCAAAACTCATGCTACTGAATTCAAAGCCGGAGCAGAAATCTACAGGGAGTATGCACTCGGCTCGAGCTGGCGTGCAGCGCAAGGCCGCGAGGCAGCTCTGTGAAACTTTCCAGTCGTCGAAGTGATACGACTATGCCAGAAGGACCGTGGCGGCTCAACAGTAGTAACACTAATATCAGCAAGAACCCACTGAAGGAAAGCAGGATCAACGCCCGGGTCGCTCAACAGAGCAAGCGGAGCATCTTCTCCTAACAGTTCTCGCAGCCCTGGCCTGGTGGGCTGGTGTGGCCCATGGCAAGGAAGAGGCGGTGGGGCTGCAGTATATTGTTCCCATTGCCCGGCCTTAAGCTTACGAACCCTTCGTATGCCATCCATCTCGACGGACCGAACCTCGGTGATGCCTAGTGGTGGAAGGAGACGGCACGTCCTTTCCATGCATGCCCTGGACCCCTTTAGATGACGTTGCAACCTTGGTACGGTATGGAAGAAACGTAAGCAGCTCACACAGGTGCAATGATGGGCATACAATCTGGCTGGGCACAACAATCCATGCCGACGAGCAACATGTGTGCCGAGATGTTTACGTTGACAAAATCTTCTACTGTTCAAACTCAACAATTGAATGAACTGGGACGAATACAGTGCGAAAGCAAAAGTCCTCTCCAAGGACTGGGCACAAGAGCTACTGTTCAAACCTTTGGCCTCTAGCCATCTGTACGAGGACAATTCACTTCTTATGGAATCTTGAACGAGTGGAGTCCAAATCCCATGTCTTGCTGAATGTCCATCATGAGCTGGCAGGATGCAGTCTTTCCACTTATCTTGTTCAAGTCCCTCCCTGTGCGAACTGCCTTCAAGATGATGAACAAAGACGCTGCTGCCTCTGTGATGAAGATTTGAAGTTTTCTTCCCACTGCATTCGAAAAGACAAGTTTGCCAGAACTGCCAGTGTCGTCCAAGCCAGAGAAGAACTGCTTCCACTCCTCGAAAGACTTTCGAGTGTTTGCCCAGTCTTTCACAGCAGGGGTCGTCCCTTTGATCATCACATGTTCCGTAAGGCTCTCCAGGACCTTGATTTCTGGCTGTCCACTCAGTTCCAAGATCTTCTTCACTTGACCTTCCAGATCCTCTGCTTTGCTCAGTGTCATGGCCGGCATACAGTTTAGTGGAATGGTCCTTGTGTTCCTTCCACCCTTTTCCGCATCCAAGAACTGCTTCAGGGCATTTTTTGCAGCATCGGTGTCCGTTGAGGATCCTGATGTCTCTTTGGCCGTTGTCTTGGGCGCTGGTTTTTTGCTGCTGCTGTAGGAGACCAGCATCTCCGTGAGCATCTCCACTGCATCGTTCTGAGACAACTTGACTGCGCCAGCAATTACCTTGACCTCGTCTTCGAACTCCGAAATGATGTCTGGCGCCATGGCCTCCAGCTGATCCAGTGTCGCGCCTTCCAACTGATCCTCCATGTCTGTAGTGATCCTCTCGTGTAAGAAATTCACTGCTGACAACCATTCCTTGTCGGGCAATTTGAACTTTCTTTTGACTCCGTCCTGCTTCTCGAAGTAGTTGGTGAAAGCAGGAAGCCCTCCCTTGAGTGTTGAGGTGGGCTTGCTTGGTGGTGCCACTGGCGATGGTGTCTTGCTGGATCCCTGATCTGGCATCAAGAAGAGATTCACTTTCCCGAGCTCCAACGAATGAACGCCGATGCTGAGATCGACCCCTGGGAGAAACCTCTTCAGTTCC